TACATACAGTGTATGAACTTAAAGTTCCGATTGTTTAACGTTTACTCTATAGACTTGTCGTTATATCAGTTGACGTTCTCTGCAATACATACTTTGTAAGTGTGTGAGTACTACAGATTCAAAGAAGTGATCGCGCACATTTGTCACCATGACCCAGTAAATATCATGAAACCAGTAAACAGGTATACAGCGTGACAATTTACCTGTTTAGAACCATTGTTATACAGCCGTTAATATAAACAAGAACATTTGCTTCAGAAAAAAAAACCTTCGGCAACTTTATGTTGGCATTACCTCTTTTTCTTATCAACAGGAGGATAAACCTGGCATTTTATTCATTTTTTCTGCATAGCAAAAGTTATTATCTTTCATTTAACACTTCACTCAGGAAGTGTAACCTGTCAAAGATATCAAATGAGAAGCTTGATTTTATTTTTTTTAGCGTTTTGTAAAGAATCGGACGTTTTTACCGAATGTCAAGCATGAGCAGACACGTTCGAGGTAATGGCGACTTCCATGCTAAATCGGAATGAAAAAAGGTAAAAGTTGAAAGCCGATCAACAGCTATTTGTTGTATTCTGCCCTATGACATCTCGTGAATTCGCGTATGCATGAAAATGACGAAAACATGGCCTCAGCCCTGCTTTTTGTTCAGGAAGCAGTCGGGAAAAGGCTTCACACGTTTATCCATGACATATATTTACGTCATTGAAATTTAAATCTTTTCAAACCAATAAACTTAGAGTATCTATTTAACTTTCTGACTACTATTTTAACTACAGTTTTTTCTGACAGATTTCGGCATGGTAGCTTTAATAAATCTTTTACTGTGAACAATATTTAAAAACTGATGGTATTCGCATTGTGTTTTTGTTTTATCTAGCACATTGATCATAAGACTCTAATATTGCTCTGTGTATTGCACTATATTACGTTTGCATATTGATATATTACCTCCTCAATTTTAGACACCATTCTACCAAGTGGAGTGCAGAAAAGCGAGTTCTTGTCTTCTCCCTTGCCGAACATGATTGCGAGAAATGGAAACTGGGGATCCGACATTTTAAAGGAGTGGCCGTACATCTGATTTACACCAGAACTTGCCTGGAATGAGTCCCATGTACGCCTTTGAGTGTCGTAGTCCTGTACTGAGATTGAGGTTCTACTATCCTGCAATTGTAGATAAATATCCCCAGTCTCTACTCCTTCTGGGAATTTAGCATAATGACTTTTTGTCAGATGACTATTAGAAATCATGACAGACATACAACCATCGGCATTTCGATTAAGTTTTACGATAACAACCAGGACTGGTTTGGATGCCAAGACCAAACTGATATCCAGAGCTGTATCTAAATTGACACGACTTCCCGCTGATGCGAGAAGTACTGTTTGGTTCACTGTGCCGTATCCAGTAACTACAGTGATTCCGTCTGTTGCTACAACACGTATCAGAATATCGGAGTACACGGGAATAACGTAACTTAATCCTAACGCCAGTACGGGAGGCATTTGTTCTAGGTAAGTTGCGTACCTGCTGTTTCCACCACACACAACAGCTACAGGAGCATTGGCCTCTATGTACGTTCCCGTCAAGTCATCTACTGATGTGAACATTAGCGTTTGATATATTTCGAGCATTTGTCTTATGACGCTGCCTGCTGTATACTGGTGTTCGCCAACAGTGGCGCCAGCTTGTGATGGTAGCTTGACGAACACATTTGTAGAATGGTAGGTTGTTGACACCGCACAGGCACAGTATCCCTCGTGACTACAGTAAGTTACAGCGTAATACTCCAGGCCGAGAACATCAACCGGGAGCGCCATATACGTTGCCATAGTTGTTGCACCATGGATAGAAACACTGACGGTGTATTCCTCGGTTAGAAATGACAACACTGTCCCAAGTCTGACAACGCCGGTTAAGTTCACACCCATACATAAACAGTTACCGTCATACAAGAAAAGGGTTGAGCCTGCTACTGTCTGTTCTTGTTGAACATCACATTGGTTAGGGCACACCCCGTGGTGCTGATCCTTAATTTCATACGTTTCTTCAACATTAGACATCACATCAACAGTGAATCGGGTCGGAGTTTCAAAATAAGGAAAAATCACGAAGAAACGGTACCCCTTCTCATCCCTGTCGGCTGTAATGATATTTTAAATTGAAATATAATCACGATAGTCCATTAATGTACAACATAAACATAAACACAATAGTCCATTAATGTACAACATAAATATAAACACAATAGTCCATTAATGTACAATATAAATGTAAAACATTAAAAACAAGTTACCTTAATCTTTTTGTATTCACTGTAGAACAAATACAGGCAATTGCTGAGTTTATTTCTAAGATCACTGTATCGGCTATTACTAGTTATTACAGTGGGATAACTTTGAAACAGATATAAGTTTAATTTCAGGTCTGACATGGCATATGCAACGTTTTGATCTTCATCATGACTAAAAAATAATCGTCTCATAAACTGAAAGAAATTTCAAGTTCCGTTGATGTCTTAGTTTATAGCAATAATTAAGCAAAATAAACATATGCCTAAACTGACGATATACAGTGGACACAATACCCGTATAAGAATTGCATATTCTTTCTTGGGTTACTTTAAGAATAAATACGAACAATTAATAAGGATGATCGCATGATAAGAAGAAGTACAACTTTAAATTCTTGAATGTATTTACATACATGATATGTTAACCATAACGAAATACAAATATAATTGTACGGTATAATACATTCGTATATGCCAATTGATACATACGATGGAGTAAGTGCGTTAAACTTGTATGCACATAGAACATATCAGTTCTAAATGTACTTTATTACCCTTCCTTATTATTTGATTTCGATGTAAATGTATCGCAGTTTTTAGGAAATAAGCATATGACGACGATGATGATGATGAGGATGATGATGATGAAACGGAGTTTCGGAATTTTCACGAGATTACGTCACGCCATTCTTGCCTCATTGTAACGTCACCCACGTGAAACTTAGTGTACATTGTAAGACGAGTTTATGCCCAGGGGAAAAGGATAGGAAAATCCCACCCGAGGGGTTTTGAAATTTGGTAAAACCCGAGGCTTTAGAGTATTTTTCTTTTAGTCCAACTACAAGATTAGGCTCAGAAACCATAAAACTATAAGTGCCATTTTGAAATTATCATTTTTTCCTCAAAACTTTTTAAATGAAAACGAATCTATCAGCGAGACCTAGCATTCCCCATATTCGCAAACAAAATTTGCGTAGAAAAAAAAAGTATTCATCTTTTTAACGTTTATGGAATATATATCGTAAATGGTTTAAATTCCATACCACACTCAGCAAAGCCTCGTGTTTGGCAACTTAAGAATTCCCCCCTCAGATTGAGATTCCCCTATCTCACCCCCAAGGTTTGAGAGATTTCATTAATTTCACACCGGACAAAAGTGTGGATACACCTGTCCAAGTAAAGAGAATAATAAAATTTCTCACCCCATATGCTAAATTCTGTGATGAAGTGACGTTGATGGATTCTTGACATAACGTCATTGTATCTCGTTGAAATGTCGTCATACCATTGTTATGAATAGAGGAATCCTCCGTCTCAATCCTAGGGTGAGACAAGGACATCTCACACCGGTAAGTGTGGATACACTTGTCCAGGGTAGGAGAAAGGGGAATCTCAACCCAAGGGGGAAGATCTTAAGTTGCAAAACACGTAGCTTTGCCAAGTTGCCTCGTGTTTTGCAACTAAAGAAACTTCCCCCTCGGGTTGAGATTCCCCTATCTCACCCCAAGGGATTGATTGATTTTTTTTCCTTTACCATGTTCTCCCATTGGTTATGATAAACATAATGTAATGCTAATGTTACAGACTAATTAATTTTTGTTGATAGATTGTTGACGTGACGTCATACCATTATTATGAATAGGGGAATCCTCATTCTCAACCCTATTATGAGACAAGGATTTCCCCCACCCTACACATGTGTGTCTCCCTTTTTTAGCCGGGAAAGATCAGCTTGTCATCCCCTAGGGTGATATAGCCTCGTACCGTTTAAAACGTGTTCAATTGTGATGTCATTCAAATGTGTCATCGGTAATTGTGACGTCATTAAAAGTGAATGACGATATTTATACCCCACATGTGTTTTTGTTTACAAACAGACTACTGTCGGTGGAAATGCGACTAAAATAATGGGATGTGAGAAAAATAATCTTTCATACCCAAGGGTGTAGGATAGGAAAAATTCCACCCCGGGAGTTTCCCTATCCTACACTCCTGGGCATGAAAGTCTTATATTATTTCTTTATCGTTGTCTTTGCCGATACAATTTCATCACATGAACGAGAGCAAAGCTTTATGATTTATTATCAAAACTCTCAACGATGACAATAATTTTTCAATGAAATGTATGATATTATGCATTATTCTATATGATTACACTTTTTGTCAAACTTTTCAATTATTTTTCATGGCATATGGCATTTGTATCGTTCAAATATCATGATGTAATTCGTAATGACTTTCGAAATCCTCGACTTGTCATTACGTTATATTCTGTCAAAGGTCGTCCTTAGTTACATTGGATTTCCTATTTTGTTACATCGCTTATTTTGCCTAATGATTTAATGGTAAATGTATAGGTGAAAAGAATATGTTTATCATAAAATGTTCAAATTAACACAAATGATGCGGACACGTTTAGTACCGTTAACTTATATCTTGTTGTCATCGATGACCAGAAACAGTACGGTTGTAATACATGTAGAGTAAAGAGGTTCCAGGTTCGAATATCGAACTTGGCCATTTTCGTTCTCATGCCTGTCAACACGTTACTACTTAACTAATACTATGGGTTTAGCAGGGGCTAATTGGTTCGGATATCACCGTATTTATCTGATACATCTCACCCTTAAATCCTGTAACGATGATGCCCCCTTCCTACCTCTATGTCTCCACTCCCGAACCCCGTGAATCCCTCCCTCTTCACCTCTTCATTCCCCGCATCTGACCCAGATTGAGCCCAACACCCCATCCACCTTTTCGAGATCCAGAACCTGACCTGCCTAACCCTCCGTCAACCACTAGCGTAATGTTAAAATAAAAATAAAACAATACATACCTATGGTGTTTAGTAACTCGACATTTGTTACAACAGTTAATTTATACTAAAAGGTAACCTAAGAAATTCATAAAATTTCCTTGGAAAAGAGTTACACCAATACGGTAATAACGGGCTACGTAATGCCACACAGATAACCCTAGCTCTGTGAGATATACTACGTACTCCTCTACAATTAGCATTTTATTTCATTTGATCAATAACCCGGACCTTTACATACAGGAAGTACCACCCGTTATCAGCTGATATCTTAGTTTGCACAAGTGTATTGGACGTATAGATATAGTTAACAAGTGAAACGTAAGAAAGATAAATGCGTCATCAAGACCGGGGTTCGAACCCTTGACCCTTCAAACTCAAAACGGACGCTCTACACTTTTACTCCATACCTACAACTGTTCTTTAAATGCATCTTATATTTTAAAAAAAATGTTGCTTCATTTCCATGTGTAATTTTCTTCTCGAAAACTTGAACACAACAACAAAGAATTCGCGGATGAAAAAATGACATCAATTCTCGTTGCTTAACTTGAAGATAAATATATTCGGATTGCATTCTTGCCAATTTGATAAATGGAAAGGTGTTATGACTATTAGAGTCTCTGCAATACAACATCTTGTACTATCACAGTATACAGTTTAGTGTGGTTATGAAGGATAAAGCAAGTTTCAGGTTCCCCGCGATCAGGGCTATTTCCCGAGGCGAAGATACACTGTGGTAGAGTAGTGTAGGGTGGATATGTGTGAGTATTGTGGTTCTACTGAATAACGAACGGATGAGATGTTAATACGGAAGGGTTATATAGAGTACTGTATTGCTATATCCCGAATTCACTAGGTCTTATTTCTCCCAACTAACACACCCTTTTTGTGAGATGATTCCCTAATGTGGGGATTTCAGGGAAATAGCCAATTGTATGATATTACTTTCATATAGCGTAAAATAAGTAGAGGTATACTAATATAAAATAAGGACCTTGTATGGCATGGCCGGACTAAATGCTCACTACAGTATCAAAATTTATAATTAACACACCGGAATCGTAACATCTGGGTCTGCATGTACATGTAATAAATAATATAAAATGCATACTTACATCCAAAGTTGAGGCTACAGTCTCGAAGAAGTGAGTTCCAATTATTGTCGGCTGCATGAATATGAAAAATAGTAAAAAAAATGTTATTCGTTTCTCAGCAAGATCTTGCCACGTAAATTGACAGATAGTTTAATTACAGCGAAAACCAGACGATACACTTATTGGGTTATATTGAATAAAAATACAACACCACGAGTAATGACGTGTACTACTTTTGTTAAATATCTAGTTTCGGATGATTGGTAATCAAAAACTTTTTTTTCATATCAAAAGGCTGTAACTGTATTGTAAATGACATCACATTGTGTAAGGACGGGCCGAAAATTATTAGGGAGTATAATACTGAACAGTATATACCAGGGCCATCAATAAATTCTGTCACCATGCATGCAGCGACCGTAAAACCAAGCAATGAAAATGGCAAGCGCTTTGACAGCCTGCAAAAGCATTTAAAGAACAATGCTAGTGCGAAATATCGACATCATCCGTCACGAATTGAAACAGGTATTTCTTGTAGAATAGTATTTAATTATGACTAGTGGCAACATTTCAATGCTAAAATGAAGGTTGAGACTACATCTGAAATACGCTCTTATATCAAAGCACGTTGTGCTTTACAGAAACCGCCTTAACAGAAACACGTACATGCATGGTTGTGCTGCATAATATCAATGACAATTGTTTTATTTTATAAACAATACAGTGTAGAGAATACATATATACAAATGGGTGACAATATACATGGTTGAACAGGATGGACATCAGTATTGTAAATTAATTATCTTATTAAAGTGTATACGTTATATCGGTAATAAATTTAGCCAATGATATCAATTTATGTATTACATAATTAACAATGTATGAAATTTAAACGTGAAAGGCATTCAAGAATGTTAAAGTTGACATCAAAAAGGAGAAGCATCAACAATGAACATTGCTACTGTGAAAGCAATAATCAAGTATGATGGTCGTTATACTGTTTCTGAGATAGCTCATATGGTTGGGCTATATTACATTACACATAACATTCTGATAACGTATTTGAAATTAAAGAAGATTCGTGTCAGATGGATCCCCCATTTGCTTACATCTGATCAAAAGGCCAAACGATTGAAATGTGCTAAAAAATACGGTAATTGTGATTCAAGAAAGCTATTTTAGCTACTTGCAGAGGATGAGACCTGGGTCTACTACTTCGAACTTCAGATGCGCATTAATTAGAAGTAATGGTCGGCGAGAAATCAGTCAAGGCCTGCAATTGTAAGGCTTATAAAGAGCGCGAAGAAAGTTTTGTTTGTCGTTTTTCTAAATTCTGGAGGGTCTGTGGTCCCGATAGTGCGCAAGACAGGAAAAACTATCCCGACAAAGTTTTACAGAAAAAAATGTTCTGAGAACCCGTCAAAAAAGGTGTCCAGGTAAACCAAGGGGAGACTACCGCACAGCGTTTTCGTCATAGATAGCGCGATTGCGAAAGTGCGTATCTGCTAAGGGGGGATACATTGAAGAATTGTAATTGAAAAGTAGAAACTATATTTATCATACATGTGGTTCCTGAAACTTGTGACAAAATTTGTTTGATGGCCCTCGTATACTGACAAAGTGATGTAGTATGTCATCGTTTAGGCAGGTCTTCATTACTAATAAATAAATGCATTACCGTGATCATCACCAACAGATACACGTATATTTTTGCTTCAGCATTCAGATATACCATCTCGATGCCGTCAGTCATCTCGAAATTCGTTTTAAATAATTATTTATGGAGTGGGAAATCATTGAGATACTCTATTTCCTTGATTTATTTTAAATTTTTTGGGGACAAAATGATCAAACAAAAAGAAAACCATTTTGCATTTGTTTAAACGGAGAATAAACACCAATAGTTGAGCTCACCTGAACAATCATCCTCATCTATTAAACCATCGTCGTCATTGTCCCCGCCATCCCCAGGGTAGGCCGGGTGGTCTTTCTGGCTCTAAAATACACAGCTAGTCCTTATCAGAGGTAAAATTTCATTGCTATATTTAAGTATAACTCATTACAATATAGCATCATCCTCATTTTACGATTTTATATTTTCAAGGAACACAAACGACCGCGCACTTATGTCTCACAAACATCTAGTGTTTGTTGTCAACTCTTTTTCTCGTTTTTTTTTAGAAACATGCGTCATGGTTCATTATTGAGTCAGAAAACAAATTGGTATACGTTCATCTTGAACCTGGCATGCATAGCAGATGGTTAACTTTTCATAGTCAGATGCGTTGACTTAGGCCAGGTGATACACCAATAACTTTGCTTAGGTGTGTGATAAATAGATAGAGTTACGCCCCCTTTTCCGCTCCGTAGAGATTTAGTACCAAATGTATGAAGAATACATGTAGTAACGACTCGGTTACTAGGGCCATTGAACAGTTATTGTATAGCTCAGTATCCACTCATTGTGTCACCATCATTACTCAGATCGTCTCGCCTGTCTTCTTCAGCTTTGCTATGATTAAACTCGGAATGACATATGATTATCGGTAAAGGTACAGCTTATTGTATTATTTAAGGTGTGTTACATTCAGTCACATTTACAGATTACTCAATCATAAGCCTTCTAGATATTTTTCTTTTTTAATTTTTATATAACTTTTCAAGCGGGCTTTAATCTAGTTTTTGTATATTGTATATTTGTATTCGATATCTAATAAATACAAATTATCTTAACTATTTTTTTTTTCATTAACCCTTGATGAAATTTAAAGAGACTTTGATTAATTTAAAATCTTCAATTACGTACTCGATATTCCGACTTAACAATTCGAAATATATTTAAAAGCCAACTTCAAACTACAGTTCTGATTCCTTTAAAATTGTCTTTTCTACCGTATTATCCACATATATATATACACATCCACATGTACATACATCTACAGTATGGTAGGGGTACAGTTACACTTACATCTACAGTATGGTAGGAGTCCAGTGACACTTACATCTACAGTATGGTAGGGGTACAGTTACACTTACATCTTCAGTATGGTAGGGGTACAGTTACACTTACATCTACAGTATGGTAGGAGTCCAGTGACACTTACATCTACAGTATGGCAGGGGTACAGTTACACTTACATCTTCAGTATGGTAGGGGTACAGTTACACTTACATCTACAGTATGGTAGGAGTCCAGTGACACTTACATCTACAGTATGGCAGGGGTACAGTTACACTTACATCTACAGTATGGTAGGGGTACAGTTACACTTACATCTACAGTATGGTAGGAGTCCAGTGACACTTACATCTACAGTATGGTAGGGGTACAGTTACACTTACATCTACAGTATGGTAGGAGTCCAGTGACACTTACATCTACAGTATGGTAGGGGTACAGTAACACTTACATCTACAGTATGGTAGGAGTACAGTAACACTTACATCTACAGTATGGTTGGAGCCTAGTAACACTTACATCTACAGTATGGTTGGAGCCTAGTAACACTTACATCCACAGTATGGTAGAGGTACAGTAACACTTACATCTATAGTATGGTAGAGGTACAATAACACTGACATCTACAGTATGGTTGGAGCCTAGTAACACTTACATCTACAGTATGGTAGGGGTACAGTTACACTTACATGTTCAGTTTGGTAGGGGTACAGTTACAGTATGGTAGGGGTACAGTTACACTTACATGTTCAGTTTGGTAGGGGTACAGTTACAGTATGGTAGGGGTACAGTTACACTTACATCTACAGTATGGTTGGAGCTACAGTAACACTGACATCTACAGTATGGTAGGAGTAGAGTAACACTTACGTCTATAGTATGGTAGGGGTACAGTTACACTTACATCTACAGTATGGGAGGGGTACAGTAACACTTACATCTACAGTATGGTAGGAGTACAGTAACACTTACATCTACAGTATGGTAGGGGTACAGTAACACTTACATTTACAGTGTGGTTGGGGTACAGTTACACTTACATCTACAGTATGGTTGGAGCCTGGTAACACTTACATCTACAGTATGGTAGGAGTACAGTTACACTTACATCTACAGTATGGTAGGAGTACAGTAACACTTACATCTATAGTATGGTTGGAGTCCAGTGACACTTACATCTATAGTGTGGTCGGAGCCTAGTAACACTGACATCTACAGTATGGTTGGAGACTAGTAACACTTACATATACAGTATGGTAGAGGTACAGTAACACTTACATCTTCAGTATGGTAGGAGTCCAGTGACACTTACATCTACAGTATGGCAGGGGGACAGTTACACTTACATCTACAGTATGGTAGGGGTCCAGTAACACTTACATCTATAGTATGGTAGGGGTCCAGTGACACTTACATCTATAGTGTGGTAGGGGTACAGTAACACTTACATCTACAGTATGGTTGGAGCCTAGTAACCCTTACATCTACAGTATGGTTGGAGCCTAGTAACACTTAAATCTACAGTATGGTAGAGGTACAGTAACACTTACATCTACAGTATGGTAGGGGGACAGTAACACTTACATCTATAGTGTGTTTGGAGCCTAGTAACACTGACATCTACAGGATGGTAGGGGTACAGTAACACTTACATCTAGAGTATGGTAGGAGTCCAGTGACACTTACATCTACAGTATGGCAGGGGGACAGTTACACTTACATCTACAGTATGGTAGGGGTACAGTTACACTTACATGTTCAGTTTGGTAGGGGTACAGTTACACTTACATCTACAGTATGGTAGGGGTACAGTAACACTTACATCTACAGTATGGTTGGAGTGTAGTAACACTTACATCTACAGTATGGTAGGAGTCCAGTAACACTTACATCTACAGTATGGGAGGGGTACAGTTACACTTAAATGTTCAGTTTGGTAGGGGGACAGTTACACTTACATCTACAGTATGGTAGAGGTACAGTAACACTGACATCTACAGTATGGTAGGAGTCCAGAGACACTTACATCTATAGTGTGTTTGGAGCCTAGTAACACTGACAACTACAGTATGGTAGGAGTAGAGTAACACTTACATCTATATTGTGGTAGGAGTACAGTAACACTTGCATCTACAGTATGGTTCATCTATAGTGTGGTAGGAGCCTAGTAACACTGACATCTACAGTATGGTAGGAGTAGAGTAACACTTACATCTATAGTATGGTAGGGGTACAGTTACACTTACATCTACAGTATGGTAGGAGTCTAGTGACACTTACATCTATAGTATGGTAGGAGTACAGTAACACTGACATCTACAGTATGGTAGGAGTACAGTAACACTTACATCTACAGTATGGTAGAGGTACAGTAACACTTACATCTACAGTATGGTTGGAGCCTAGTAACACTGACATCTACAGTGTGGTAGGGGTACAGTAACACTTACATCTACAGTATGGTAGGAGCCTAGTAACACTGACATCTATAGTGTGGTAGGAGCCTAGTAACACTGACATCTATAGTATGGTAGGGGTACAGTAACACTTACATCTATAGTATGGTAGGAGTACAGTAACACTTACATTTACAGTGTGGTTGGGGTACAGTTACACTTACATCTACAGTATGGTAGAGGTACGGTAACACTTACATCTACAGTATGGTAGGGGTACAGTTAAACTTACATCTACAGTATGGTAGGGGTACAGTTACACTTACATCTACAGTATGGTTGGAGCCTAGTAACACTGACATCTACAGTATGGTAGGAGTCCAGTAACACTTACATCTACAGTGTGGTAGGGGTACAGTAACACTTACATCTACAGTATGGTTGGAGCCTAGTAACACTTACATCTACAGTATGGTAGGAGTCCAGTAACACTTACATTTACAGTGTGGTTGGGGTACAGTTACACTTACATCTACAGTATGGTAGGGGTACAGTAACACTTACATCTATAGTATGGTAGGAGTACAGTAACACTTACATCTACAGTATGGTAGGAGTACAGTGACACTTACATCTACAGTATGGTAGGAGTACAGTGACACTTACATCTACAGTATGGTAGGAGTACAGTAACACTTACATCTATAGTATGGTTGGAGTACAGTAACACTTACATCTATAGTGTGGTAGGAGTACAGTAACACTTACATCTTCAGTATGGTAGGGGTACAGTAACACTTACATCTATAGTGTGGTAGGGGTACTGTACTCCTACCATACTGAAGATGTAAGTGTTCCTGTACTCCTACCATACTATAGTATGGTAGGAGTACAGCAACACTTACATCTATAGTGTTGTAGGAGTACAGTAACACTTACATCTACAGTATGGTAGGAGTACAATAACACTTACATATACAGTATGGTAGGGGTACAGTAACACTTACATCTATAGTATGGTAGGGGTACAGTAACACTTACATCTATAGTACGGTAGGAGTACAGTAACACTTACATCTATAGTATGGTAGGAGTCCAGTGACACTTACATCTATAGTATGGTAGGGGTACAGTTACACTTACATCTACAGTATGGTTGGAGCCTAGTAACACTTGTAGGAGTACAGTAACACTTACATCTATAGTATGGTAGGGGTACAGTTACACTTACATCTACATTATGGTAGGAGTACAGTAACACTGACATCTATAGTGTGGTTGGAGCCTAGTAACACTTACATCTATAGTATGGTAGGAATACAGTAACACTTACATCTACAGTATGGTCGGAGTACAGTTACACTTACATCTACAGTATGGTAGGAGTACAGTAACACTTACATCTATAGTGTGGTAGGAGCCTAGTAACACTTACATCTATAGTGTGGTAGGAGTACAGTAACACTTACATCTATAGTATGGTTGGGGTACAGTAACACTTACATCTATAGTATGGTAGGGGTACAGTGACACTTACATCTATATTATGGTAGAGGTACAGTAACACTGACATCTACAGTATGGTAGAGGTACAGTAGCACTTACATCTACAGTATGGTAGAGGTACAGTAACACTTACATCTACAGTATGGTAGAGGTAGAGGAACACTTACATCTACAGTATGGTAGGAGTCCAGTGACACTTACATCTATAGTATGGTAGGGGTACAGTAACACTTACATCTATAGTATGGTAGGAGTACAGTAACACTGACATCTACAGTATGGTAGGAGTACAGTAACACTTGCATCTACAGTATGGTTGGGGTACAGTTATACTTACATCTACAGTATGGTTGGAGCCTAGTAACACTTACATCTACAGTATGGTAGGAGTCCAGTAACACTGACATCTACAGTATGGTTGGAGCCTAGTAACACTTACATCTACAGTATGGTAGGAGTCCAGTGACACTTACATCTACAGTATGGTAGGGGTACAGTAACACTTACATCTACAGTATGGTAGGAGTCCAGTGACACTTACATCTACAGTATGGTAGGGGTACAGTAACACTTACATCTACAGTATGGTAGGAGTCCAGTGACACTTACATCTACAGTATGGTAGGGGTACAGTAACACTTACATCTACAGTATGGTAGGAGTCCAGTGACACTTACATCTACAGTATGGTAGGGGTACAGTAACACTTACATCTACAGTATGGTAGGAGTCCAGTGACACTTACATCTACAGTATGGTAGGGGTACAGTAACACTTACATCTACAGTATGGTAGGAGTCCAGTGACACTTACATCTACAGTATGGTAGGGGTACAGTAACACTTACATCTACAGTATGGTAGGAGTCCAGTGACACTTACATCTACAGTATGGTAGGGGTACAGTAACACTTACATCTACAGTATGGTAGGAGTCCAGTGACACTTACATCTACAGTATGGTAGGGGTACAGTAACACTTACATCTACAGTATGGTAGGAGTCCAGTGACACTTACATCTACAGTATGGTAGGGGTACAGTAACACTTACATCTACAGTATGGTAGGAGTCCAGTGACACTTACATCTACAGTATGGTAGGGGTACAGTAACACTTACATCTACAGTATGGTAGGAGTCCAGTGACACTTACATCTACAGTATGGTAGGGGTACAGTAACACTTACATCTACAGTATGGTAGGAGTCCAGTGACACTTACATCTACAGTATGGTAGGGGTACAGTAACACTTACATCTACAGTATGGTAGGAGTCCAGTGACACTTACATCTACAGTATGGTAGGGGTACAGTAACACTTACATCTACAGTATGGTAGGAGTCCAGTGACACTTACATCTACAGTATGGTAGGGGTACAGTAACACTTACATCTACAGTATGGTAGGAGTCCAGTGACACTTACATCTACAGTATGGTAGGGGTACAGTAACACTTACATCTACAGTATGGTAGGAGTCCAGTGACACTTACATCTACAGTATGGTAGGGGTACAGTAACACTTACATCTACAGTATGGTAGGAGTCCAGTGACACTTACATCTACAGTATGGTAGGGGTACAGTAACACTTACATCTACAGTATGGTAGGAGTCCAGTGACACTTACATCTACAGTATGGTAGGGGTACAGTAACACTTACATCTACAGTATGGTAGGAGTCCAGTGACACTTACATCTACAGTATGGTAGGGGTACAGTAACACTTACATCTACAGTATGGTAGGAGTCCAGTGACACTTACATCTACAGTATGGTAGGGGTACAGTAACACTTACATCTACAGTATGGTAGGAGTCCAGTGACACTTACATCTACAGTATGGTAGGGGTACAGTAACACTTACATCTACAGTATGGTAGGAGTCCAGTGACACTTACATCTACAGTATGGTAGGGGTACAGTAACACTTACATCTACAGTATGGTAGGAGTCCAGTGACACTTACATCTACAGTATGGTAGGGGTACAGTAACACTTACATCTACAGTATGGTAGGAGTACAGTAACACTTACATCTACAGTATGGTAGGGGTACAGTAACACTTACATCTACAGTATGGTAGGAGTACAGTGACACTTACATCTACAGTATGGTAGGGGTACAGTAACACTTACATCTACAGTATGGTAGGAGTCCAGTGACACTTACATCTACAGTATGGTAGGGGTACAGTAACACTGACATCTACAGTATGGTAGGAGTCCAGTGACACTTACATCTACAGTATGGTAGGGGTACAGTAACACTTACATCTACAGTATGGTAGGAGTCCAGTGACACTTACATCTACAGTATGGTAGGGGTACAGTAACACTTACATCTACAGTATGGTAGGAGTCCAGTGACACTTACATCTACAGTATGGTAGGGGTACAGTAACACTTACATCTACAGTATGGTAGGAGTCCAGTGACACTTACATCTACAGTATGGTAGGGGTACAGTAACACTTACATCTACAGTATGGTAGGAGTCCAGTGACACTTACATCTACAGTATGGTAGGGGTACAGTAACACTTACATCTACAGTATGGTAGGAGTCCAGTGACACTTACATCTACAGTATGGTAGGGGTACAGTAACACTTACATCTACAGTATGGTAGGAGTCCAGTGACACTTACATCTACAGTATGGTAGGGGTACAGTAACACTTACATCTACAGTATGGTAGGAGTCCAGTGACACTTACATCTACAGTATGGTAGGGGTACAGTAACACTTACATCTACAGTATGGTAGGAGTCCAGTGACACTTACATCTACAGTATGGTAGGGGTACAGTAACACTTACATCTACAGTATGGTAGGAGTCCAGTGACACTTACATCTACAGTATGGTAGGGGTACAGTAACACTTACATCTACAGTATGGTAGGAGTACAGTGACACTTACATCTACAGTATGGTAGGGGTACAGTAACACTGACATCTACAGTATGGTAGGAGTACAGTAACACTTACATCTACAGTATGGTTGGGGTACAGTTATACTTACATCTACAGTATGGTTGGAGCCTAGTAACACTTACATCTATAGTATGGTAGGAGTCCAGTGACACTTACATCTACAGTATGGTAGGAGTACAGTAACACTTACATCTACAGTATGGTAGGGGTACAGTAACACTTACATCTACAGTATGGTAGGAGTCCAGTGACACTTACATCTACAGTATGGTAGGGGTACAGTAACACTTACATCTACAGTATGGTAGGAGTCCAGTGACACTTACATCTACAGTATGGTAGGGGTACAGTAACACTTACATCTACAGTATGGTAGGAGTCCAGTGACACTTACATCTACAGTATGGTAGGGGTACAGTAACACTTACATCTACAGTATGGTAGGAGTCCAGTGACACTTACATCTACAGTATGGTAGGGGTACAGTAACACTTACATCTACAGTATGGTAGGAGTCCAGTGACACTTACATCTACAGTATGGTAGGGGTACAGTAACACTTACATCTACAGTATGGTAGGAGTCCAGTGACACTTACATCTACAGTATGGTAGGGGTACAGTAACACTGACATCTACAGTATGGTAGGAGTCCAGTGACACTTACATCTACAGTATGGTAGGGGTACAGTAACACTTACATCTACAGTATGGTAGGAGTCCAGTGACACTTACATCTACAGTATGGTAGGGGTACAGTAACACTTACATCTACAGTATGGTAGGAGTCCAGTGACACTTACATCTACAGTATGGTAGGGGTACAGTAACACTTACATCTACAGTATGGTAGGAGTCCAGTGACACTTACATCTACAGTATGGTAGGGGTACAGTAACACTTACATCTACAGTATGGTAGGAGTCCAGTGACACTTACATCTACAGTATGGTAGGGGTACAGTAACACTTACATCTACAGTATGGTAGGAGTCCAGTGACACTTACATCTACAGTATGGTAGGGGTACAGTAACACTTACATCTACAGTATGGTAGGAGTACAGTGACACTTACATCTACAGTATGGTAGGGGTACAGTAACACTGACATCTATAGTATGGTAGGGGTACAGTAACACTGACATCTATAGTATGGTAGGGGTACAGTAACACTGACATCTACAGTGTGGTAGGAGTACAGTAACACTTACATCTATAGTATGGTAGGGGTACAGTAACACTGACATCTATAGTATGGTAGGGGTACAGTAACACTGACATCTACAGTATGGTTGGAGTACAGTAACACTTACATCTACAGTATGGTAGAGGTACAGTAACACTTACATCTACAGTATGGTAGGAGTACAGTGACACTTACATCTACAGTATGGTAGGAGTACAGTAACACTGACATCTACAGTATGGTTGGAGTACAGTAACACTTACATCTACAGTATGGTTGGAGCCTAGTAACACTTACATCTACAGTATGGTAGGGGTACAGTAACACTTACATTTACAGTATGGTAGGGGTACAGTAACACTTACATCTACAGTATGGTAGAAGTCCAGTGACACTTACATCTATAGTATGGTAGGAGCCCAGCGAGAACCCTATTCGTAAAGGTTTGCCAGCTGTAGATCCTGTCGAAACTCCAATAACTCCAAATCTGCCTTCATTTTTCTCAATAATCACCTCTTTGGGGGAAATTTGATCGTGGATCTTAATCTGACCTGCAAACAGTTGTGAGCCTTGGAAATGAAGGTGTTGCTGCACGGTGGCGGGGGCTTTGTTTACTGAATAATCCATCACATCGGATGAGATTGCAGTCATTTCCATCTTGTTCATGTTTTCCGTGGGATACTGGAAAAACATCCTATTCGCCTGACCTTCTATAGGTGGAACCAAAAACATAGATGACGGATGTGTGTCGTCACTCAACAGAAACATAACCACCAGAACAGGGTTGTCTGCGGTTATGTACACAGAGTCATCCTGTTCAATTCGCCGGTGAATCCAGGGAATGGTGGACGTAGTTTTCACTTTCATGTACCCGCTGATGTGAATGGTCGTGCTCTGCCTTGCCATCACCCGTATAAAGGCTCCGTGCTTGTTGCAATACGGTTTACATGAGCAAGCGTACTCCATTCCCCATTTAGTAAACGGCGGAAGTTGTTCAAGAAGGAAATTGGCATGTTCCTTGACACCAACGATACCACCTCTACTTCCACTGAAAACTGCCACTTTTCCACTTGATTCTATGTGTGTACCAGTCAGATCACAATCACATTCTATTAGCATCGACTCCTCTGAAACGAGTGACGTAGTGATGACGCTGCCTTTGCCATAAATGTTACCGCCGTATCTTACGTGACGTATTTTTTGTGTATTTGGTAGTGTTATATCTATGCTATGGATATCGTCGGTTGCAACTATGAAGATCTGGCAATTCCCGAACACTTCACAGAACGTCACCGCGTAGTAATCTAGTCCAAGGTTCGATATCGGTATGGCAGTGTAGCCTTCAAACACGCGACCCCCCTCGTACGTGACCTGTGTGGTTTTGTCAGATTGACTGTTGTAGAGCGTGCTTTTAACGGAGACAATGTAACTACCGAGCCTACTTTTTTGCGTGTAAAAAGCACATGTTTTGTTGCTTTCAAAACTTCCTTCGTATGACTTGAATTCATAGGAAATGTTATCGTTTGCGGTGACGGATTTACTAGATTCTTCCGAAAAGTTAGGTAGCACGAGCGTTTCTTCGTCTGTAATCCCGGATATCCTGACGGTGATATTTGTATTCCAACTTCCGGTGTCATAACAGGCTACGACAAATGCTAGAAAAATATAACACTCGTAATATTATTGCATTTTTTTTATAAATACGGTACATTTCAAACACACCACACTCTTCTTATTCTCAGTAGAATGAGACACCAGTCAGCTGAATAGAAATTTTGTCTATAAATATGTGTCAATCCAAAAAGAGGTTCGTTATGTGATAAAAGCTCTACACGACAGACTAGCCATTGGTATCAGGCTTTAAGTGTAATATTCTACTTTTTCACAAGTCACCAAATTTGAGTGTTGCGGGATTTTAAAGGAAACCTGACTTGTCGCCATAACAAGACGTCGAATTCTAACTGGAAATCGTAAATCCTCAAACGGAAGAAAACAACAATAATAGAACCATATTCTGAAACAACAAGTACCTCTCTAGATGTCTTACTCGTACAGTATGCGTTTTAATTGTTCCTCTACATCATTTCCCTTCTAGGCATATGTAATACTTATCAACTCTCGCATGCAATGGTAAAACAGCAATTTCATTTAAAACGTGATTATTTAAGGATAGTAATATTTTGATTTTATCAATGAAAATTATCTCCACACTTTCTGCCTTTAGTGATTGCCTGTCATCAGAAAACACTCACAAGAAAGTTTATCCGAAATAGCAATGGACCGCCTAAAATGATTAAACTTACCTTTAAGTTTTCAGCTTGAACAATCATAACTAAGGTAGGGTATACCAGGGCACTGTATGTGTGACCTCAGGATCATTTCGTCGTTAAATTTGGAATTCATGAATGAATTATACCTCACTGGATAGTTAGTCTAACAGTTCAAGTGAGCTCACACCCATACCTTGTTTATTTTGGTTTGTAACGTTCTATAGCAATTCACCAAACAAACCCCTAGTGATTCATATGTGAGTCTGACTTCTACCTATAGGTGAGATGATATGCAGGCTAAGTAAAAGGGAAAGTGTTTTGCCCTATCTGTACTCATAAGTAATATATAATATTATACATAATACGTAATATAATACATAATGCATACATAATAAATAATACATAATACAATACAGGAAACATGTAAAATACATAAAACATCAACAATGGTGCATAGCCATGAAGAAGTCTGTACCAATGAGTTATCTGCCGTTGTTCCTGACGATTTAATATATAAAGTAAACACGTGTATAGAACATGTACCTACCCTTTTCCAGTCTCAAGGGAGGAGAGCTCGCTGTGCTATACCTTAAGATGACCGTCAATGTGGCTAAAAGCAGAAACAAGCCCTCATGGCGAGGCCGTTTTTCGTTCTGTAGATTAAAAAATTGGTAAAAAAATATACTTATGATATATATGTACATGCATGTAAAAATTTACAAAGAAAAACGTTGGAATATGCTTAACATAAGTGACTACAATTAAATATTACACCTGGGCTGTATTCATGAAATCGTCGTCATGCTCAAGCAAGGATTTTGTACTCAAATCCACTTTCTAATAAATTAGACAATTCCAGACATCAAAATCTATCCTATATGCTTCAAACGTCTCAAGAATCCTCCAAAATCATGGGCAAAATGTGATTTTTTTTTATTTGTAACCCCAATAAAATAGTGGCCTTAAGGATTGAATCTGAGTTTGAGAATGAGAACAGTTTAATAAATGCAGGTCCTGCAGATTGGCCGGTAGCATGTGTTTACAGAGGGTGACATTCCGTGCAATTCTTGTTTAACCTGATCTATCCCAACCCACATATCATGCTCAGTCTAGTCTTAACAATGTTGTTGCAGCGTTCAAAATTATTGTTCAATTCAAACAAAAAAGAGAGAGAATTGATCATGCATGTAAAACGATAGCACCGGAGCGTTTACATAATTTATGATAGTATAATGCGGATATCATTGTCACTTTAGTCTAGAATGTTGTGTAACACAGAACTGGTGTGACCGACTGTCACTCCAGTCTACAATGTTATGGAACACAGAACGGGTGTGACCGACTGTCACTATAGTCGACAATGTTATGTAACACAGAACTTGTGTGACCGATTGTCACTAAAGTCTACAATGCTATGTAACACAGAACTGGTGTGACCGACTTAAACTATAGTTAACACTGTTATGAAACACAGAACTGGTGTGACCGATTGTTACTATAGTCGACAATGTTATGTAACACAGAACTGGTGTGACCGATTGTCACTATAGTCTACAATGTTATGTAACACAGAACTGGTGTGACCTATTGTCACTATAGTCTACAATGTTATGTAACACATAACTGGTGTGACCGATTGTCACTATAGTATACACTGTTATGTAACACAGAACTGGTGTGACCGACTGTCGATAGAGTATACAATGTTATGTAACACAGAACTGGTGTGACCGATTGTCGCTATAGTCTACAATGTTATGTAACACATAGCTGGTGTGACCGATTGTCACTATAGTATACAATGTTATGTAACACAGAACTGGTGTGACCGACTGTCGATATAGTATACAATGTTATGTAACACAGAACTGGTGTGACCGATTGTCACTATAGTCTACAATGTTATGTAACACAAAACTGGTGTGACCGACTGTCACTAGTCTACAATGTTATGTAACACAGAACTGGTGTGACCGATTGTCATTTAAGTCTACAATGTTTTGTAACAAAGAACTGGTGTGACCGATTGTCACTATAGTCTACAATGTTATGTAACAAAGAACTGGTGTGACCGACTGTCACATTAGTCAACAATGATATGTAACACAGAAAGGGTGTGACCTATTGTCATTATAGTCTACAATGTTATGTAACACAGAACTTGTGTGACCCATTGTCACTATAGTCTTCAATGTTATGTAACACAGAACTGGTGTGACCGATTATCACTTTAGTCTACAATGTTTTGTAACAAAGAACTGGTGTGACCGATTGTCACTAGTCTACAATGTTATGTAACACAGAACTGGTGTGGCCTATTGTCACTATAGTCTACAATGTTATGTTACACAGAACTGGTGTGACCGATTGTTACTTTAGTATACAATTTTATGTAACACAGAACTGGTGTGACCGATTGTCACTTTAGTATGCAATGTTATGTAACACAGAACTGGTGTGACCCATTGTCACTATAGTCTACAATGTTATGTAACACATAACTGGTGTGACCGACTGTCACTTTAGTCAACAATGTTATGTAACACAGAACTGGTGTGACCGAAATAAACTATAGTCTAAAGTTATGTAACACAGAACTGGTGTGACCGACTGTCACTTTAGTCTACAATGTTATGTAACACAGAACTGGTGTGATCGACTGTCACTATAGTATACAATGTTATGTAACACAGAACTGGTGTGACCGACTGTCACTATAGTCTACAATGTTATGTAACACAGAACTGGTGTGACCGACTGTCACTATAGTCTACAATGTTATGTAACACAGAACTGGTGTGACCGACTGTCACTATAGTCTACAATGTTATGTAACACAGAACTGGTGTGACCGACTGTCACTATAGTCTACAATGTTATGTAACACAGAACTGGTGTGACCGACTGTCACTATAGTCTACAATGTTATGTAACACAGAACTGGTGTGACCGACTGTCACTATAGTCTACAATGTTATGTAACACAGAACTGGTGTGACCGACTGTCACTATAGTCTACAATGTTATGTAACACAGAACTGGTGTGACCGACTGTCACTATAGTCTACAATGTTATGTAACACAGAACTGGTGTGACCGACTGTCACTATAGTCTACAATGTTATGTAACACAGAACTGGTGTGACCGACTGTCACTATAGTCTACAATGTTATGTAACACAGAACTGGTGTGACCGACTGTCACTATAGTCTACAATGTTATGTAACACAGAACTGGTGTGACCGACTGTCACTATAGTCTACAATGTTATGTAACACAGAACTGGTGTGACCGACTGTCACTATAGTCTACAATGTTATGTAACACAGAACTGGTGTGACCGACTGTCACTATAGTCTACAATGTTATGTAACACAGAACTGGTGTGACCGACTGTCACTATAGTCTACAATGTTATGTAACACAGAACTGGTGTGACCGACTGTCACTATAGTCTACAATGTTATGTAACACAGAACTGGTGTGACCGACTGTCACTATAGTCTACAATGTTATGTAACACAGAACTGGTGTGACCGACTGTCACTATAGTCTACAATGTTATGTAACACAGAACTGGTGTGACCGACTGTCACTATAGTCTACAATGTTATGTAACACAGAACTGGTGTGACCGACTGTCACTATAGTCTACAATGTTATGTAACACAGAACTGGTGTGACCGACTGTCACTATAGTCTACAATGTTATGTAACACAGAACTGGTGTGACCGACTGTCACTATAGTCTACAATGTTATGTAACACAGAACTGGTGTGACCGACTGTCACTATAGTCTACAATGTTATGTAACACAGAACTGGTGTGACCGACTGTCACTATAGTC